AACTCAGCTGGGTAAGGTGAGCAACAGGCCACTGGAGTGCTGCTTGTTGGATTGCAGCCAGTTCCTGACTTGGAGGACTGAGGAGTGCAGGAGGGTTTCCACTGCTACAGGACAGTGTTGTGCAGCTGGAGCTGTGGAAGGAGCAAGGAGGAAGTCTCCAGCCCAAGAGTCTGATCCCGCTTATCTCCAAGTTCTGAGTCTGTTCTGCCTGAATGGTGCATGAGCAACCTGCTCTGCTGGAAGGTGTCCCGGCCCATGGCAGGAGGGTTGGAACTGGAGGAGCTTAAGGTCCCTTCCAACCCAAACCATTCAGTGGTTCGGGGGGGCTGTACCAAGGTAGGGGGCCCTTTCTAAATCACAGTCCAGCTCTATAGGCATAGCAATAGGGGAGCAATCCGTGTGGAACAACCTCTGGAGGAGCTGTCAGCCTGATGACTACAGGACAGTGAGAGATGCCTCAGGAGTCCTCTGTGTTACCCAGGTATTTGGGCTCTGCCTCTCAGAGGGAAGCTTTCTGGCAAAGCAACCCACGGCAGCAGGTCAGTTCTCAGGTGCCTTCTAGCTTTTTTCTGGGAGCTTTAGTCTGGAGTTGTCCAAGAGCTGGCCCCTCACTACAGGAGAGACATTGAGGTGCTGGATGGGGCCAGAGAAGGGCACCGGAGCTGGAGCAGGGCCTGGAGCACAAGTGTGATGGGGAAGGGCTGAGGGACCTGGGGGGTTTAGTGTGGAGAAGAGAAGGCTCAGGGGGGACCTGATCGCTCTCTGCAACTGCCTGACAGGAGGATGGAGCCAGGAGGGGGCTGGTCTCTGCTCCCAAGGAACAAGGGATGGCACAAGAGGAACCGGCCTCAAGCTGCCCCAGGGCAGGTTTAGCTGGAGCTGAGGAACAATTCCTTGCCCAGAGGGTGCTCAGGCATTGGAACAGGCTGCCCAGGGCAGGGCTGGAGTCACCGTCCCTGCAAGTGTTCCCAGCCCGTGGAGCCGAGGCCTCAGTGCCAGGGGTTAGTGGTGGCCTTGGCAGGGCTGGGAATGGTTGGGCTGGATGAGCTTGAAGGGCTTTTCCAACCTGGTTGATTCCGTGGTTCTAAGGCACTGACACCAGGTTGCAGTTCCTCCCTGTTTCTCTGCTGTGGTTTGCTCACCTGGAGAGTGTTCAGCTATCACCCAGCCACAGGGTCTGATCTTCAGCTGCAGGTCAAGGCCCTGGATGTTCAGCCCCATCCACAGTTGGTGTGTGAGCACGGTAAGAGAACTTAATTTCACGCTGCAACACATACGGCTGCCGGAGCTTTATGCATGTCCCTGTGTTTGCTGCACCAGGAAGATTGACAGCCTTTCAGTGAGCTGCTTTTTAATTTAAAACTACTCTTCAAAGGTTTTTGTCCACCCAAGGACTCATTCCTCCAGGGCTGTTGCTGAAATACCAGCCTGTTTGAAGGTCAGCATCTGCATATTGGTTTCGGCATCTTCCAGGATCAGAACAGATGCGTCCCTCTCTGTTGTGTAACTCCTTTGTGGATGTACAGGGTTTTTTTCTCCTGTTACCACCCCAAGGCTTTTTGTCTATACAGATTTTAGGCAGTCCTGCTTTTTACCTTCAAAACCAACCCTGGAGCTCGGTGTCTGTATGGAAAGGGTGGACTGCAGCCACTCTGCTGCTCAGATTCCTCCCAAGTGTTGGCTTTTCCACAGTTCAGTGTGAGTATTGGTTTTAAATATTAAATTAAGGGTTTACAGCCAGTCCAGCAGAGAGAATCACGACTGCTCAGGCTGTGACCTTGACTCCATGCTCCAGGCCGTGGTGAGAACCCAAAGTCATGAGCCTGTCCCTTGGCACTCCTCATGGAGCGCTCACCTTGAGTCCTGCACAGTGTATTAACTGGGGTGTGCTGTGTTCAAGGCTGGCAGTAAACCTGCTCCAGTGTTTATGCTGGCTTGGGAGTGCTGGTTTTTCTTGCTCCTGGCTTCCTCTTTAAATTGGAGTTTCATTTTTACATGGATGTTTGTGCTGCTTTGGCTTTTGTAGTTGTAAATCTAAATAACAGAGTTGGGATTACTGGAGCGATGTTAGAGCCTTGTTGCTGCAGGAGGCTTTACATTTCAATGGTTTGGGCTTATTTCTAGGTTAGGACAAAGAAAGATATGAAAGGAACAGAGCTGCTTTTGGCCTGGGCAGTTTGTATCTGTAGGAGAATGAGACTGGGAGGACCTTGAAGAGTTGCAAGAAGATGTGACAGCAATTTAAGAAGCGAGGAGTGCAGGGAGAGGATGTTTGTGTTCTTTCTTGAAGAACAATTGTTTCACACTGTTCTTGGTCTTAAGCCTTCCAAATGAAAGAAGGGATTGTTCCTTGCTTGGGTGGATGCAAAGATGACAGAGAAGAATTACAAATCTCTAGCACAGGAGCTGCTTCAACAGACAACATAATCTCATCTCCCTGGGTATCGAGTGCAGCTTAAATGCCAAAGTGTGTGAGTGAAGAGTTGACCAAAACCTTACAGGTGGGTTTGCAGCACAGCTGCAGGTGGTTGTGGTAGAAGATACTGGGAAATAGGAGAAATCATCACAAACCCAGAATGAGAGAAGGCAGAGAGATGCCTGTGTCTGGCTGGGTTAGACACAGACACTCTATGTCCCAGATACCAGAACAGAGTGTGTTTAATTCAGCAGGTCTACACATTACCATCCTATTCTTGTTACTTGGTGTCTTCCCCCATCCTCTCTTCTGTTCTGCTTTATCAGAAGCTTAACTTTTCCTTCCTTTCCACTCCTCCCGCCCCAAGAGACAGCCAGGATTTAGAATCAGGATCAGTGCTCGCTGCAGCTCTCCAGTGCCAGCATAATGGATCCATGACCTGATTTAAACTTGTGAGAGCTGCCATAATGTAAATATTTGATGGAACTTCCTTTTTTAAGCCTGCTTCAGTGTTTCAAGCTAAATCATGGCAAGGTAAAAGGACACTTGTTAGCATGGGTTTGTTTATGCAGGTTTTGGTGGTTCCTTTAGAGATTGCTCTGGCTTCGGGCAGCGTTTCAGCCCTGTGTTGTATTTATGCAAAATCCAAGCAGTACAAGTAAACATGAAATGATATTTGTGTCATAATACGTGGAAAGAAAGGGAGTTAAATCCATATGTCAGCTCTTACCCCAGATGGGAACCATGCTGTTCCTCAAATCACGACTGCGGCTTGTTTGGGCAGAGCTGGTGCATCAGTGCTATTGCTGTGTCTCGGCTGGAGTGGCTGGATAAAGGTGGGGAAGGAAGGGGGTTTCCTGAATGATACACAGGGATGTGTTTCTTCTGGAGAGAAGATGTTTGTGTGGTTTTGAGTCTGGAAGGAGCTATTGAAATGGATTGAGGCCATATCCCAGACCTAAATTTCTCACCCATTTGTATAAACATGAACCTTTGTCAGAAGAATTCATTGCTGTTGGCTTAAGCAGATTACTCCTTATTGCAGGAAGGTGCAGTTCCTACATGGACAGTATCTGTAGGGCTCTACAGGCTGCAGGGTGGCACAACAGGGGGATGAGGTTTTATTTTTAAGTTCTGGAAAAAGGCAATGCTAGGATCTGGAAGCAGCTTAACCTGGTGCTGATCCAGGGCTGCCGCAGCCCTTCTGGGCAGAGCCCAAATGATTTGGCCAAGCCAACCAAAGTGTAGGAATACTCAATCCATTTGGCAGTGAAATAACTGGAAAAGCCAGTTTTCCATCTCTGCTTCGTGTCAGTTCTGCACTGGGGATGTGTCCTGTACCCAGATATTTGGGATCCTCCTACTGAAAGGAAAGGGAAGAGTTTGGAAGTCAGGTTCTGCAACACTGAACTTTGCTTGTGGGGAGGATGTGCTTCTATACAGGCCTTGGTGCCAAGTGTGGTGTGTTATAACTCCTTTAATATCTTTGGTTTATAAGCTCTATTTGTGGGAGAAGAGGGGAGTAGTTTTGGGGTTCCGTACTTGAACTTGAGGTTTAAGTAGGCAGCTGGAAGACACAGTTTACCTCCAGCTGCTGCTGTCAGATACAGTCCTTCAAGTGTGAGGCATCTTCTGCCCAGATGTTGTACATCTTGAAACCCCAGGATTTAGTTATCAGTGTAATTTGCAAGTCAGAACAGAGAAAGCACTGTCAAATCTACACACCTGAAATGTGGACAAAGACATGGTGAGCAATCTTGTTCTAGACCTTGCATCTGAGCTGGTTTCTAGAGACCAGAGGTACCAACTGATGAATTCATTGTTGTATTGATGCAAAACTTGAAGTGTTAGTTTTCTGCTGCTGGGGCTGGTCTCTGCTCCCAAGGAACAAGGGATGGGACCAGAGGAACCGGCCTCAAGCTGCCCCAGGGCAGGTTTAGCTGGAGCTGAGGAACAATTCCTTGCCCAGAGGGTGCTCAGGCATTGGAACAGGCTGCCCAGGGCAGGGCTGGAGTCACCGTCCCTGCAAGTGTTCCCAGCCCGTGGAGCCGAGGCCTCAGTGCCAGGGGTTAGTGGTGGCCTTGGCAGGGCTGGGAATGGTTGGGCTGGATGAGCTTAAAGGTCTTTTCCAACCTGGTTGATTCATTGATTCTATGATTAATGTTGCAGCTTCAAGTTCATAGAAAGTCTTTGTTGGGAGACATTAAAAAGCCTTTCATCTTAAAGCAAATACTAAGCTTCAGTTTTGTGTTTAGTGTTTATTCATAAGATCCTTACAGCTTTAAGAACACTTCCTTGGATGTGGCTGCTCCATTGTTCTGATGGGCAGCTCTTCTCAAGATAATACTGAACCACAAAACCTTTGTGGTGCTGCTGCAGTGGAAGCAGAGGCTTGCGCTGAATTTCAAGGGGATGGATAAGGCCCCTGGGGTCAGAATGTGCCTGTGTATTTTAAAGGTTACCTCGCTATATATAGCTAAGGCTGAGCTCTCTTTGAAACCAGTCAGATGGGTCCTTGTTCAGTGAATTCCAGGCTTCTCTTGTACAAAAAATAAAGGAAAAATCTTTGTTTTCTTCTTTGCAGGATTCATGAATAAAATTTTCCATCCCAACATTGACGAAGCGTAAGTAAATCCCCAGTGTGTGCATTTCCTGAGGAGTTACCTAATTGTAACTCTGTGTTGGCTTCGCAGTATTAATGCTGATGAGTTGAATGATGCTTTCATCAATCTTAAGGGTCCAGCATGAGGGATTTGATAGATGTAGGTGTTGTCACAGGTTGACTTTCAGGGGTGGGTCAGGCTGTGGGTAACACTAGAGAGCTGCATGCTGCAGATTCTCTTGCAGACATGGTCTTTGTATTGCAACGTGCTTCGCTTGCAGAAAACTCAAGGTTGTAGTCCCCCTCCTCCTTGGCATCATGTATATAAAGGCTGCCCCTCCTCTTAACCACGAGACAGGAGTAAATCACAGCTTACCTGAAACACTGGCACAGGGGAATGGAGGGGGTAGATGCTATTAGAACCCCAGAGTATTTTTGAGTGTGACTGTGTTTAATTCCATCCTTTCTGTATGTTTCAGGTCAGGAACTGTATGTCTAGATGTAATCAATCAAACTTGGACAGCTCTCTACGGTGAGTTGGTATTCCCCTGAAAGCTCCTCACATGGACATCCCTGTTTGGTATGGTAACATAACACAGCTTGCTGGAGACAGGTGAACTTAGGCCAAGTTGTTGGTTGGGTTTTGGAGGGGTTTTTTACTCAGGTTTTAGACAGGTTACTTCTGTAACCTGTTTGTATCCCAGAAAGGTGAAGATATTCCATAAACCTCACAAAGGATCACTCAGTCCATTACTTGGCATTGTCTGGCAGCTGCACAACAGCACCTCACCATGATTCAGCATTGAAAGAGTGACTGCATCTCAAGTAAACCTAGTTCCAGCTCTCCCATCCATGTTTTGTAAATGCATTCGAGCTGGTAGTCTTTGTGCACAGGGCTATGATCCCACTTGTGCAGAAGCTGGCATCAGAAACCATTCCTGTTTGTGGTGGCAGCATCACTTCATTGCAGGCTGGGACGTGGGATTGCATCTCGTGACTGCACTGCTTGCTGCAGGATGTTTTGGGTTTCCTGTTAGGTTGTTCCTGGCTATAACTCTCCTTTTTAGAGGCATAAAAAGATCAGTTGGTAGCTGAAGACCCATTAAAATAGCATTTAGGGCAAGCTGAATTGGTTCAAGGGAGTACAGCTGGGTATGTAGCCTAGGTTGGCTTCATTTAAATGTGAACTTCTTCAGATGTTCCAATTATGCTTTGTGGAAGAGTATCCTGGGAATGTGCACATCCAATCCTTCCCCTTTGTCCATGAAAAGCTGATGTTACCTGTGTAAGTTGAAGCTTTGAAGCAGTTGCTAGAGAGACAAGCTACTTCACCTTCCTCGCCAGCACAGTTTGTAAGGGAATACCAGCCTTGGTGAATCCTGGGTGGGAAATTGCTAATGCAACTTGTTGAACTTTACTCCTCATCTGAACGCCTGAAGTCCTCATGTGGCAGATGCAAGGCACACACTTCACATGGGTTTGCTGTGAGAGACCAGCTTAGCTGTAACCCTGGTGGTGGTGTTCATGGAGGAAGAGGATGCCCTTGTGTCCTGGGAGGATCCGAGGCCAGTGTTAGCAAACCAAGCCCTCTGCTGGGGATGAAACTGCATGAATCCAGCTCAGTGCAGCGAGTGCTGCTGTTCCACAGCCTTAAATGCCACCTGCAGATCATGGGGATGGCTGGACAAAAGAAAATCTCTCCAGTATAACCAGTGTGGTGCTGGTTTTGTGCTCAGTTGGATTCTGCTTTGGTTCTATGCAGGGATAACCTCCCTGTGCTGCAGCACGCACTCACAGAAGGCCTCAGTGGGGTTTCTGCACTATTGCCAAACAGTTCCATAGGAAGGCTTCCTGTGAGAGGTTTCCTAATGAGTGCTGCTGTATTTTTGTCATCATTGCTCATAAAGGTAGAAGAAAACAGCTTGATATTCAGTGTGCTTGTGCTGTATCCATACCAGCAAGCCTCCAAAACCCTCCTGCGTTTCTCCTTGTGATAGATGTTAGGCAACTTGAAGGTACAGGGAACTTCCCAAAGCAGCTGGTGAAACATGGCATTAGAAAGTGCATCACTTGACAGTCTCCTCATTGCAAACTTCCCTTGCCTTGCTGCAGGGAGGACACTGGGGTGACTGCATTCCCTCTGCCCCTGCTCTTGGAAGTCATCGACACTAGGGTACCTGTATCACCTCTTCTCTTCCAGGGCATGAGGATGTGGCCCATTTCTGAACATGAAATGAAAATCATAGCATGGTTTGGGTTGGAAGGGCCCTTCAAAGCTCATCTAGTCCCATGTCCTGCAGTGAGCAGGGACATCTTCAACTAGATCAGATTGCTCAGAGCCCCATCCAGCCTGGCCTGGAATGTCTTCAGGGATGGTGCATCCACCACCTCCCTGGGCAACCTGTGCCAGTGATTTACCACCTTCACTGGAAAGAACTTTCTCCTCACATAAAAAGTACCTCTCAGCACAGCTCTGTTTTGGAGTGTCACCCCTTCAAACCAGAACACTCCTGGGTCAGAGGATATGGGTCAGACAATTCAAGGAGCAACTAAGACAGAAAAGATCCAGAATAGTCACTAGCAAATTCATGAGGACCTCATGGTTAGATCTCTTCTCCTTCCCTAAGGAAGTCCTTAGTGCTATGGCTGGGCTTCGACATGTGTTCAGCTCGTTCCTGCTAAACCAATGCTGCTTTTTAGGGATTGAAAAGAAGGAGAATTATGAGGTCTCATGAAATCCCTGCAGTGTGTCTTGTGAGCTGTGGTGTCCTTCCAGGGCTCTGCTTGCTCAGCCTCTATGAGACTGTAGTTGTCTAATGGCCACAAAGAGGTACTTGATTTAAGCCTGTGCAGAGGCTTGTCCCAAAGCAGGTGCTTTCACAGACTAAAGTCAACTTCTTGCTGACAGTGTCTGAACTCTGTCCTAGGAGGTTTAACTGGTTTACCAAGGGCAAGCCATTGCCACAGCAGCAAATACTTCCAGAGTATACTCCCTGCTTTTTTGAGCCCCCTTTTTGCATTAGGATCCTTCTTTCAGTTGCTGTTATGCTTCGTTGTAGAATGTGTGCTCTAAAGTGCTTCATCACTGTCCTCAGCCAATATTGGAAGGGGCAACAGCTTCTGTGCAGCAGAGATTTCAGGGTAAAAGCACCTGATTTGTTAGTGGTGTTCCTGTAGAGCAGAGACCAGCTGATCTCTCTCCATAGCAATTAGTGTCATTACTTCTTGGAATTGGGTGATGCACGCTTCTGAGCACATAAAGCCACGGCCTTTCCTCCTGCTCAGCAGGGCTGATGCTGAGTGGGTGACTGAAGCAGTCATAGCACAGTGTCTGTACACCCTGGATGTGTTGATGGAGGAGGGTGGAACTCACAAAACATCAAGTCTCCTTTGAGCCTCCTGAGTGAAGAGATCTAATAAGCACACCCTTTGGTAGATCTCCAGAGGTGGTATCATGGGACAATGGCACAGATCTACCTGGACATACAGTACAGCTCTTCTGAGGCTCTTTCTTTGCTGGTGAGGGAGCTAGAGCCTGGTTTTCTATGGCTGCAGCCCAGAGCTGCACTGACTGCACAGGGAGGGCTCTTGGAGATCTCTCCCCCCTAACTGCCCACCCATTTGTGATGGCTCCTTCAGAATGTTAATGGCTCTGAGGTCCCTGCCCACCATCAGATCTGCTTGAATGTAGCAGCTCCAGGAGGCTCAGGATTGTCTGGGCTCGGGAATAGTCACAGCTTGTTCCTGTCAGAGGCAGGTTGAGGTGGCTCAGCTGCTTACGTGGTGGATCCTGGGCAGTGCTGGGCTTCCTTTCTGACAGCTCCACTCAGATCCATGCTAGATGGGACTGGTGATGCTCATCCAAAGCAGGGTTTCTCTGCCACCATGAAAGACCCTTTTTAATTAGAGAGGAAAGGAGGAATCCTGATAAAAGATGTGTAGAATGTTGATGAAACCCATCAGAAACGCCCACAAAACAAAAGCTGCTCTGTCTCCATCAGCAGTTCTCCTGAGGCTAAAGGGAAACCTGGCCCACAGCCCTGCACTGGGAGTTTAATCTCAGCTCTGAGTGGGTGCCTGTGGTCCTCCTGAAGGCCCCAAGGAGGAATGATGATGCAGGGCTTCTTTCTGAACACCTCCACCCCTGAAGTGTGGTGCTTCTTGTCTTAAGGATGTGGGAAGAGGGTTTCATGTATCCACAATTACTCATCAGCACCAGAAGTATGTTTCCTGCTGTGGATTATTTAGTGACTGGTGCCAACTGGCACCAAGGTGCTAATGTGAGCTCTTCACATTCTGAGAATTGTTTTGAGTTGGAGAAGGGACTTGTTGGTTGCTCTTTCATTAGCACAATTATCCCAAACACTCTGGAAGATGCTTTGTGTTCAAGGTACATCAATTTAGTCATCAATACATCAGTGGTGCAGAAGACTTTTAAAGACTTAATAGAAAGAAGCAGAAGAATTCAGTGAGGGATGAAGCACAGCATTGTTTGGTTTAACTTTTTCCCCTTTTTAAAGCCAGAGCTGAACTTCAGTGGGAAACAAGACACAATTGTGCCCTTCCATTTCTTTGCTTAACCCACAGATATCTATATAGACCTCAGAGCAGCTTCCAGTGTCTGAAGGGGGCTACAAAGATGCTGGAGAGGGACCTTCATCAGGGACGGTAGCGATAGGACAAGGGGTGATGGGTTCAGACTGAAACAGGGGAAGTTCAGGTTGGAGATAAGGCAGAAGCTGTTCCCTGTGAGGGTGCTGAGGCGCTGGCACAGGGTGCCCAGAGAAGCTGTGGCTGCCCCATCCCTGGCAGTGTTCAAGGCCACGTTGGACACAGGGGCTTGGAGCAACCTGCTCTAGTGGAAGGTGTCCCTGCTCGTGGCAGGGGTTGGAACTGGGTGATACAAGCTCCTTCCCAACCCAAACCATTCTATGATTCTGTATTCCATTGCTGGGATGTTGATTAATGTGTGCAGTTAGCTGAGGAGCTGCAGCATTCCTCCAGCAGCAGCTCTCCTACCAAGCATGTGTGTGCTTTCCACATCCATTTCCTTTACTCTAACTTGTGCCCAGGCTTTCAGTGCGTTTGCAGCTTCGTGCTGCTGTGTCAGTGCAGGCTGATAGATCAGGCTGACTCTGGGGCTGTGTCTGTGTCTTTGCTTGCAGATCTCACCAATATATTTGAATCGTTCCTGCCCCAGCTGCTGGCCTATCCCAACCCTATAGATCCTCTAAATGGTGATGCTGCAGCCATGTACCTCCACCGACCAGAAGAGTACAAACAGAAAATTAAAGGTAAGGGCATAAATGACACATGATGGTGTGGATGGTGTTGCTGTGATTCCACCCTGGGGGAGTGAGGGCTGCCTTTGCTGCCTGTTTGTGTGTCACTGCCTCTTCCTTCCCACTGCAGGGCCCTCATCAGTTTGAAGTTGGGGTAGTCTGAAGTAAGGGGTGGATGAATCACTGCAGTGTGTGGAGCAGGGGTTTAAATCATAGCAAACCCTAAGCAGGGAAGGCTGAGAGCAAACTGGGTTAGGATTCCACATGATTTTGGGACATTGGAGAAACAACTTGGAAGAAAAGATATGTGACTGAAGAAGGGACAAGGAAAAGGGCTGAACTTAAATGGGAGCATCCAGTTGCACAATTACTGGATAGAAAGTGGCATGGAAAGTGATTTGAGAGCTGCAATCAAGGAATTGGTGGTGCTGTTGCATAAAGCACTTTCATACTGTGACAGAGCAGGAGTTTTAGGTAAATGCCAAGTAATCCTTCCTTGCTACTTCCTAGTGCAGCCGAGGCTCACCAGTGCTGTGCCCAGTTCAGGGGCTGCCATTGAAGCAAGCTGCAGACCAGTAAAGTCTGTAGAGTGTAACAAGGGTAACAATTAGAGAAGGGTTCATTGAGACCTCAGAGCAGCTTCCAGTGTCTGAAGGGGGCCACAAAGATGCCGGAGAGGGACCTTCATCAGGGACTGGAGTGACAAGACAAGGGGTGATGGGTTCAGACTGAAACAGGGGTAATTTAGGTTGGATATAAGGTAGAAGCTCTTCCCGGTGAGGGTGCTGAGGCGCTGGCACAGGGTGCCCAGAGAAGCTGTGGCTGCCCCATCCCTGGCAGTGTTCAAGGCCAGGTTGGACACAGGGGCTTGGAGCAACCTGCTCTAGTGGAAGGTGTCCCTGCCCGGGGCAGGGGTTGGAGCTGGAGGAGCTTTAAGGTCCCTTCCAACCCAGACCATGCTATGAAAGGCAGACAGTCTTGAAGATGTGTCCTAAGAAGAGGCAGGGAAAGAACTGGAGGAGTCTAATTCAGGGAACCAACTTGGGTTAGGAGCTTTGATGTGTCAAAGCTTCTTCCTTCAGAGAGGAAGGGAATGATTTATCCTGTGATAGTGTGAGCAGGATGTGGTCACAGGCATTTAACTGAGGTGGGGGAGCCCAGGCTAAACATTAACAGTGACTGGTGAGGGTAGGTGAGTGCTGGCAGAGCCAGTGAGGGTGCTGGTGTGTCTGCTTCTGGAAGGGTTGGAAGGACATGTTAGACAGGGCCAGGAAATGGAGCCAGTACCTCCTGGGGCCTGGGAAGGCTCCAGTAAGGACTCTCAAGTACTTTGGATAAGGCTGGTGGTAGAAGGACTGTCCTAGCAAACTGGTAAATGAGAAGCAAATTGAATTAGTCTTGCAAATGTAAGAAATAAGCTAAAAAATGAGAATTGTGCTTCAAATTTGTGCTTTCCCTAGAATCAGGTGCAGGGCATCATTTCTCACAGGCTGAGAGAGCTGGGCTGGGGCAGCTGGAGAAGAGAAGGCTCCTGAAGGGGACACCTTAGAGCAGCTCCAGTGCCTAAAGGGGCTCCAGGAGACCTGGAGAGGGGCTTTGGACAAGGGATGGAGGGACAGGCCAAGGGGAATGGCTTGAACCTGCCAGAGGGGAGGCTGAGATGAGCTCTTGGGCAGAAGCTCTTCCCTGTGAGGGTGCTGAGGCGCTGGCACAGGGTGCCCAGAGAAGCTGTGGCTGCCCCATCCCTGGCAGTGTTCAAGGCCAGGTTGGACACAGGGGCTTGGAGCAACCTGCTCTAGTGGAAGGTGTCCCTGCCCGGGGCAGGGGTTGGGGCTGGAGGAGCTTTAAGGTCCCTTTAACCAAAACCATTCCATGATTCCTTTTTGTGACAGCCTGTGGTGAAGCCATTGACTTCATTTCTCCCCCGATCCAGTGAACACAATCAGCATTTCATGTAGTGGTGGGAAATTCACAGCCTTTGGCCCACATTTGGCCTTCCACTAAGGTTTTAAGAGGCCATGGCTGCCTGATTTTTGTTTCTGTTACTCAGTAACCATAAGGCTTGTTTGCCCACGGGAGCCCTGCCAGATAGGTTTGTAGTTCAACAAGTACAGCCTCCATGAGCCTCACAATCTCATAGTCTTCCTGGTGTGAGGTGGGATAGCAGCTTTCCTACCAGCATTGTGTTTGGAGAGCTCAGGTGTCCCAGGAAGAAGTGGCATTTGGTGATGGAGTCCTTCCATCAGCTCTGCCACGTCACTCCAGAGTGGTTAAACCCGGAGTCACTCTGTTCTGATGCACAATGACTCTTCAGCAGCAGCAATTTGTTTGTGGGTGGAACTCCAAATGAGGCCAAGCAAAGCTGTGATTTAAAGGCTGAGTTATTCAGCCCACTTTGCTTGACTCCTCTGACAGCTGCATGACAGGAGCATGAAAACTACCCTGCAGATCTGGCCTGCTCGGTGTCCTGAAGTCCACTGCTGCTTGTTCCATATGTAGAAGCTTCCAGGCAGAAGGGTTTGTCACATATAATCCCTGGGGCCAACACAAGGGACGCTTTGGGTGTCCTCTTCTGTTTTAATGAAACAGGGATAAAAGAAGACACAGCCGAAAAAAAGCAGATCAACTCATGCTAGCAAGAGCAGGAGCTTGGGGGCAGATCTGAGGACATCCCTCAGGGAGGCTAAATGGGACAGTCTGCTCCATCCTTTCCCTCCTGACAGCCAGGTATAGGCTCTGAAGATGATCTGGAAGGATCTTTAAGTGCTTGCAACATGTCTTGTGTTCCATATACCCCAGAGTCCTGCCTCTCCTGTCTCTTCCCAAGCTTGCGTGCCAAGGAGAAGATGGAGCTCAACACTGTCATCCCTCATCTTGTAGCATGTATAAAAATAGCCTTGGACATGCTAAAATTGATGCAATGGGTTGTAGCAGCTTCTCTGCTCAGGGAAACTCAGTAGTGCAAATACATAATTTATTGCTGCTTTTCTTCATTTTTTAGTTATGAGCACATAAAGCAGTTGTCTGACATGGTGGTAGTGAAGACATGGGTAAAAGCTTAGAGATGTGGCCCAAGATTTGTAGATCTTGTGATTCTTGTTGGTGTGAGACACAAACAAGTGAGGATTTATCATGAAACCTGTAAATGTCCATTAATACTCCCAATACAAACTGTGATTCTTAGCATGAGAGCCTTCAGGTAGATGTGAACTTCATGGACACAGACCTGAATGCTCCCTTAACATCTCCCTGACAGTCCTTGATGGGATGACTTGCCTGATCTCTAGTAGAGCACCAGAAGGTGGGCTTCAGCTACACAAAACCAGCTCAATATTCATGTTGAGCTGTTGGGAATTGGTGTTTAACTCTTTGGTGTGTGCTGCTTTTCTTCCTCTTTGGTAGATCTAATGTGAAAACTTCTCTTGGAAGGGTGGTGGTGGCAGCTGAAGGGTGCTGAGGGGCAGGCTGGGTGTTTGCAGGGAGCACAGGACATCTTTGGGAGCAGTCCTCCCATCCCACGTGTCAGCTCTGGAGTTCCATGGAGTCCTTTGAAACACCAGCATGGCTCACAGACATGGACCAGCCACGGGGCATGACCACAGCTTGTCCTTGTTGCTCCAGGATTTTAAAACAACTGAATCCAAGTGGTGTTTCCCTGGTAGGAATGTTTCTATCAAGGCTTTCCCTTCTTAAACCGTCCTCCACAGAAGCATGTTCATCAGTATGTAGATGTTTTGGTTTTCTCAGAATCCTGGAATGGTTTGGGTTGGAAAGGACCTTAAGATCATCCAATTCCAACCACATAATAATCTTCCCTGAATAAGCAGAAGATCCAAGTTCAACCCAATATTCAGCACAGAAGCTGCCTGGAAGTTTGACATATTCCAGATTAAACGTTCTAAAAAACCCAGCCCAAGAGTTCAGTAGCTTTCCTGGGTAGAAGGTGGCATTTTAAGCTTGAAGTGCTTCAAGTTGTGTTTAGCTTAGGCTCAAGCAGGCCTTTTTCAGCAGAGATGGTGGCTCCCATGGCCAGACGTCCAGTGGCCCAGAGAGCACTTGAAGCAGTCAGTGAAGAAGCTTCTCCTGCCCAAGGTCATGGCTGCTGTGTCTTGGGGCTCCCACTAAGGGGTTATCTTTGTCATCCAAGGACATCCAAAGTCATACAGCAAAGGCACTTGGGTTCCCTTTGCTGGACTGTACAAGGAATAACAACTTCTCTGGGTAACCAACCCTTTTCCAGAGGGACATTACTGGATAACTGTGGGAAGGGAGGAGCCTCTACAAGGATATGTCATGTCAGCATCCCATCTCCTTAGCTCAGCTCGTCACCTATTGCCAACCCACCTTCCCATGTAAATTCCCTGAGGACACGCTGTGTTTTTGGGTCCCTCCTTCAGTTAGCCCCTCTCATCTTTAAACCACTGGGTCTGTCACAGCAGTTCCTCTCACTTTGCAGTATCCAGCTCTTGGCAGATGGTCCCTGCCCCACACTCTGCAACTCCTGTTCTCCAGTATAGGCAGATGTGATCAGGCAGGTCCTAGGCTTCGTGGTGACATGGGCAGCACCTTTCAAGAAGAGGGTTCTCAGTGGCCAGGACCTGAGGATGGAGCACAGAGGTGCTTTTCTGTTTGATACCACATGCAGCCTGAGGGCAATCCAAGACCTTGAGCATTCCATGCTTCCCAGTGTTTACATAGCTGCCTTCAGTGCTTTATCAGTTCTTCACAAGTTCTTGTAAACCAGATTTGAGCAGCTGCTTCTGTGGTCAGAGTGAGCAGGTCAATCATGTAGATTAAACACTCTGACCAAAGCCAAGTGCGTCAGCAGATGGAGGAGCTGAAGCTCAGAAGCACCTTCCAGCTTTTCCAGAGTGGAGCAGGTCTGCCAAGGCCACCAGCTGCTGCATCCTGGGAACTCCTCCATGAAGTGCTGCCTTTGGGTTGCTCTGGCCATGCCATGCTCCTGGAGCTGGATTAACACGTTTGGGCTCTGAGTCCTTACATCAGCTCCAGAAATGTGGGAAAACCCCACAGTGATGCAGGCCTCTTGCACAGTATTTTCCCTCCCATTAGGCTGAAGGATGGAAGTGCAGAGGGAAGGAGGGACAGCTTTAGGCTCTGCAAAGTGCAGTCTTTAAAAGCTGTGTTGTAGCACTTGGTTATCTGGCATTAGGTGTGTTCTCCTGCAGCTTTATCAGTGCATCTACCTGCTGAAACAGTATGGGATGAAAAGCAGTGATCTGTGCTCCTGGAGGAGAGATGATCCTTGTGGACCTCATTCCCTAGGAGGAATTAAAGCACATAGAGTTGGGATGGCTGCTGGGCTGGGACTGGGATGTGACATTCATATTTCCACACAGGGCCTCACCTTTGAGCACAGAGGGATGGTGGTATTCCCTCTTCGTTCAGTTTCATCCTGCTGTTTGGAGGAGGCTTTGCTGTCTTTTAGAACCTTCATACACAAAATTCCCCGTTTCCTCCCCAAAGAGGACCTGTGGTTTGAGGGATGTATTGTCTTCATACTTGTCCATGCTATGAAGCCCCTTTCTCAGTGTGAGGTGGGAAAGAGGAGATAAAGAGGAAGACTTGACCTTGAGGCTGAGCACGCTTCCTTAAGCCCAGTTTTGTGCCAGGTTTTCACCCTTGCTCCATTCTGCAGGCCTGCATGTGTGTAAGGAACAGGCTTTCTCTGCTCAAGGTGGGATCACCAACACCTCCTTGATCTTAGAGGGGACACTGGGAGCTTCCTGCAGCCGCAAAGGAAGGAGAGGGATCGCCAGACTCAGTCTGACCTGACCCACTTTGTGGTGCCTCTTTGTTCTGTCCCTCTGCACAGAGATGACCACACAAGCCACAGTTGGCAGCAGTTACTTTACCTGCCTGCAGGAATCCCAGTAAACCAGTTTTCCTGCTTGTTGTACAGCTTCCTGCTTGCTCCTGGCTGGAGTTCAAGGTGTTGATGTGGGTGCCCAGAGCCAGTGTGGTTTAGCCCCTGCTGTGAGACACGGTTTCCATCGGTGACCTGCAGTGAGGTGGCCCCGGTTCCCTGCGGGTCCTTCTCAGCTAATCCTGTGGTTGCTGTCTGATGTGAAGCAGTTGCAAGAGTTGGGCTTTGAAAACAGAGCCTGAGGCAGAACCATGTTTATACTGGGGCTAAACAAATGCAGCTCTTCCTGCAGTAGACATCTTCTCTGCTTTCTCTGTCCATCCTTCTTTACACACGAAGAGTTTAGCCTGGAACCTTTGTCTGGCTCTCAGCTTGGCTTCAGTGCTGGTTGCTCTGCCCTATCAGTTTAAACCCTCAGATGCTCATTTCTCAAAGTCAGGCTCTGTAGCTACACCTTGCTGGTTTTAGGCTTGTTCTCTAGGTCCCCATGTAGCTCCTGTTTTGGCAGTAAATCAAATCCTGTCCTGTTAAGTGAGATAACACCATCCCTGGGAGGACTTTGGTTGTGTCTAGCTACAACTATACGTGATGAGCTTTGGGATCATACTTGTTTTCAAGGGTCTTGCAGGTCTCTAAGGTCTCCATCAGCTGTTTTCACATGTTGTTGGACAGTGGTCTGAGAAATACGGGAATCTATGACCTATCTTTGGTCTGGCGAATATGGGAGTCTATGACCTATCAACCACGATGTGCCCCCAACCCAGCTGTTAGTCATAGTTCACTCATCCTCTGACTGTTGAATATATGCTGCTGATGTGTCTTTTCTCTTCTGTCACACACAGAATACATTCAGAAATATGCAACAGAAGAAGCACTAAAAGAACAGGAAGAAGGCACCGGGGACAGCTCATCTGAGAGCTCCATGTCCGACTTCTCGGAAGATGAGGCTCAGGATATGGAGTTGTAGTAGAAGAGGCAACCTGCTTTTCAGAGAGACTCTTAATTTCCTAACCATGAGAAGCAGACTATAATATTCATATTTAAACAAAGCAATTTTTTTTATTACTAAACAAGGTTTTTATGAATAATAGCATTGAGATATATATATCACCCTTTAGATCTTGATTTTCTTGGTCATTTCTCGAACCCGAGGTGCATAGCATATTCCCACATTCCATTTTGGTAGCAATATGCAGCCCGAATGCATGCATTCAAATTCCATTTGGCCAAGTCAACTTGTGTGCTACTGAACTGTCAGCTAAAACAGCTGCCCTGGTAGGTAGGGAGTTAGTCAAAAGAGATGTTTGCTTTCTTTATCAAAGGTTTCCAAAGACACCACCTTGGATGCTAACGTGGAACAGCGTTTTCTCAAAGCCTAAAGTCTGGGGGATGATATACTTAAGCGTGTAGATCAGACAGTGGAATAAAAAGGTGCTCCTTCAGGTCAACCTTGCTGATCCTACTTCACATGGAGTCACATTAAAAACCCAGTAAGAGATAATACAACTGCATGGAGCTATTTGAGAGCATTGAAGCTTAAACTAAGTTGACTTGGATTTGAAGGCTGTTTTTCCTATGTGGACTCCTGCCTGCCCTTCTGAACTGTAGGGACTGACAACCACTGGTCTATTTGCTTTTTTGGGACTATTGAAAGCCTTTCATCTGGATGTTACTCACTTTCTTGGTGTTGGATTACCAGCTGTTCCCTTCGTGGGAGGAAAAAAAGAAAGAAGGAGAAAAACACAAACCACAAGTGATGCTCTCTGAACAGTGCTTTGATTTAGCTGGAGCACATGTGAAGTCAAAACTCTTCCTTTGTCATAGTTTTGAAACTGCTGCCCTTTAATGGCTTCAAGTTTGCTTTTTTTTGGGGGGTTGGTTTGTTTTCTTTCTCTTGCTTGAAGTATGGTTAAACACCTCGCAAACACTCTCCATCTCCTAAGAGAGGGTCCTCTGACCAGATGGATTAGCCTTGCTGAGAGCTTCAGATCCACGACGATTGGCCCCATTGGCTGTAGTCCACGAATCCATCGGCACTGGTTTCTGTTTTCCTTTTTGCCTCCCCTTCTGCACCAGCTTGGTAGCCATCTGCTTGTGTGTGTACAACAGGATTAAAGTTCCTTTAAAAGTTAACAAAAGAATATGATCTAGAAAAATAATTGAGATGAATAAAAAAGCCTAAAAGCACCCGCTGAGGAAGCAAAGTGAATCTGCTCTGGTTTGTTTTGGGGTTTGGTTTGTTGTTTTCTTCTTTATTCCAGGATGCTTCTGCATTGGAATGTTTGAGTTCTCCTGGTGGCCTGCAGCAAGCTGAGATTTGTGTTTTGGTTTAATGCTATGAAATCTAATCTAGCAAATGTCTACCTGGGGTGCCAGTGTAACTTGATTTTGGATCATTGTGCATTGGAGATTCGAACTGAAGCTGGATTTCTTTAAAGCTGAATGTTACCTGCTGTATTCTTTTTTGGGGGGGTGTTGTTTTGGACAAGATGTTTTGATTTGTGGTGCAACCAACATGGAGCAATGAACCCACCCACCCTGAGCAACTCTGGAGCAGAGTTTGGAATGTCACATTGGTTCTTTTGTCATTTTCCCAGAATGATTTGGGGTTTATTTGGGAGTTTTCTTTAGGAATGCCACCAAGTTGGGGTTGGAAGGTCCCAATCCTATTCCTGCTTCATAAAGCACAATCAATTCCTTTTTCTTTGGGGCGGGTGGGGGGGAAGAAAAGAAACAACTCATAAAGTACCACTTTGCTTTAGCATGATTTTCCTTAATAAAACCTTACAACCACGTTCCTTTCTGTTAATGATGGGCATGAAGCAAAGGTTTTTATTTCCCCTCTCCCTTTCCCCCCCACTTTTGGTTTTTAAAGCAGTAATGTTAGGGCTGTGGCTAGTGACTGTGCTGAAGTTCTCTATCTAGCATTTGTGGCTTGTGGGAAGGGTAATATTAACTATTTAACATGTAATGGTGTACTTAACTCTTATCTAGCACGCTGTTGTTCTCATTACTTTGGGGAGGGAGGGGCCAGGGTTTGCTGGCACTGTTTAACTTGCTTACCTGCTGCCCTAGCAGTTTGCTTGTGCTATAACCTTTACTTGTAGGTGCTACTTAGGAGTAGAGTTAAGTGCTGGGTGGTGATATCAGTTTCAAAGATTAAAAAGGAAAAAAAATCACAATAAAAATTTGTATTTTTTCAATATTGTATAAAAATAGTGTTCTAATTACCTCCCCCCCCCCCTTCCAGGTTTTGCTTCCCTATGGCAATGGCCGTGGGTTCCCTGCCTGTGTTTGGGACCTACCAGGTGATACTTGAAGAGCTTTAGGGGTGTTTTGCCCTCTGGCATCTCTTCTAGCTGCTTTTTCTGCTCTTCTTGCAGTGATGCTGCAGTGTGGGCACATCAGGCACCCTGACAACAGCGCTCCATCCTCTGATGTGGATTTATCCCCTTCCTTTTGGGATAGCTGTACTCTGCTAAACAGGGATTCCCAAGAAATAAGCCTACCCCTAAAGCTGGAGCTTGCCAGGGTTCCTGCCCTGGGTGCATGGATGCAGCGGGGACCATGGGGCTTGTCCAAGCTCTGTGTGTTGATGGCTCAGTGGCTTCAGAGCCACAACGTGTATATCCTGGCTCTTCCCAACATCCCCAAGTGCTGGAAACGCTGCAGAGGGTTGTCCCGGAGAAATCCCAGCTACCAAATTGCTGCTTGTGAAGGATGTCAGTCCTGGATGTGAGGGGTTTCTAGGGAATGACGCGGAGCAGGCTGGGGGTGCTGCTCCCAGCCCCATCCTGCCATCTGCTGCTTCTCCATCATTCCCACCTCTTTTATTCCCCTATCTTCTTTCTCCCAAAAGAAACTTCCTTGTCTGTAACTGCACCTGCACCTACATAGCCTGGAAGAAAAGGTGGAGCCCTGCTGAAGCAGCGTGGCTCTTTTTGGTCATTCGAGGGTCTTGCTCTTCATACAACAGCGTTAGTGTCACGTTGTGCCCTGTCCGGGTGATGGGAATTTCCCAGCAGCCCACGACGGATCCCAGGTTGAGTTCCTCACTACCAAAGCTTGTCACAGCCCCTTGGCACTGTTTGGAAACACCCTTTGGCTTCTATTCCTCTCAAATCTCCTTTTGCATTGAGGTTTTTGGGTGACATGAAGAGCCAAGTGCTCATGTCCCTCAGTGGTGGGACCTGGTGCTTTGGGCCCAGTTGGAGAACCTCCATGCCAAGTTCTTCCTCACCCACAGCTTGGTTTGGTGGATGCAGGAGGATGCTGATGTGGGGACAGGCTGGAGCAGAGCTTTGCCATCAGCCGTGCGTGTCCATGTCCATGGTGAACTCCAACCCATCCCTTAACACACGCTGTAGAGACAGTGCTCCTCTTCCATCCCACTTACTGGGTGTCCTCCATCAGCAGGACCCTCCTCATGACCATCAGGAAAGTGTTTGCTGCTTTCTCTTCTCTTTTATCCTTCTTTTATCCTCCTAATCCAAGTCCTGCTGGCACTTCAGCAGGGTGCCAGCAGCAGCAGCAGCAACGGCCATGGGTTCCCTGCCTGTGCTTGGTACCATCGGGTGATACTTGACGAGATTTGGGGTGTTTTGCCCTTTGGCACCTCTTTCAGCTTCTTCCTCTTGTGCTGCTGCTGCAGTGTGGGCCCAGCAGCCACCTGGACCCCACCAGACGATACCCCCCCAGTAGTTGTGTGCAATGAAAGACCTGTAAACCCTTCCTAAATAAAACACATCTATACCTTGAAACGTGGCTGGTGCTTGGTCACCGAGAGCTTGGGCTTGCAGGGGACACCCTGGACCTCACGCCATTGACTCTGCATCCCACCAGGACTTCACCATGCTCCATGGATTCCAGCTCGGAGCCACCCCGGGGTGTCTTCTGCCTGGAGATGGAGGTGGTTGCGCACACCCAACGTGCTGATGGTGATGCTTGGAGTAACCAACTCCTC